ATTTTTCCCCTCTCTCAAACGATTCTTAGAACAGGCAACTTTTGACAACTTTAAACATCGCTTTTGAAGAGCAGTGTTATTAGGATTTAGGACAAGTTTATTTGTTTTGTTTTTACAGTGATGTGCAGAAGGAGAGGATTAGTTTATGGCGAGTGCAGCGGTTTACCATGTTGCTGTTAAATTATGATAGACTGTCGCTTTGCGCACTTACATAATTTAATTTCAGCTACGAGGCGCAAGGGCGATTTAGAAAACAGGTTCCCGCCAGGAAACTTTGGGAGGCAATTGTCTCCACTCAGATTGAAACGGGCGTGCCTTATATGGTTTACAAGGTAAAGAGCTGCAAAATTACTATTATTCAGACTGATGCACTCGTTAATTTCCATTCACATATCATTTTCTAGCAGGGGTTTCTCTTCTCAAGAAGACACTGTGCTATATTTCGTCTAGTTATTTTTGAGTGACAACGACCAACGTCAGACCGATTAATCAGTCGGTGATAATGCCGAACAGCTATGCAAGCGAAGTCGCAAGCTGTACGCTGTGCAGTGAATTATAGAAAACATCGTGCATTAAGGGCGATAAAAATGAGTCCCAGAACTGGCGTGCCCTTTGGCTCGATTTGCGATGGTGTCTCAAACTGGAGGATAAACAGCTGCTAGGTATCTTAAACGCTGGACGAATATCGCTATGAGACGGCCTTTTCCTCTCGATATGCACCTACCAGTCCCATTCTATCGGTGAAACTCATGAAGCATCTCCTCCAGAGAATCGATAGAACATTATGATATGCCGTGGATTTGTGTGAAAAACAGCGAAAGGCCGGGCACATCGCAATTTGAGAGAATGGTTGATCGATATTGATACAGAAGAGGAACGTAGAAATATTGTCGGGGTCGGGTTTGTTGTCAGCAGCATACGGTCTTCACAAATCATCTCTTTTTAGTTCCATTCGTCACTAGTCGGCTTACTTTTCCTCAGGCTGGAGTTTAATAAAATTCTCAAAATCATCCAAGTCTAAGCTCTCAGCAG